ATTTTGTTTATTTTTGTTTATTTTTTTGAGACAGAGTCTCACTCTGTCACCCAGGCTAGAGTGCAGTGGCGCAATCTCGGCTCACTGCAACCTCTGCCTCCCCGTTTCAAGCAATTCTCCTGCCTGAGCCTCCTGAGTAGCTGGGACTACAGGTGCGTGCCACCATGCCTGGCTATTTTCGGTTTTTTGGGTTTTTTTTTTTTGTATTTTTTAGTAGAGACGGAGTTTTGCCATGTTGCCCAGGCTGGTCTCGAACTCCTGAGCTCAAGTCATCCACCCGCCTTCGCCTCCCAAGTGCTAGGATTACAGGTGTGAGCCACTGCACCATCCTATACCATTTTAAAAGTGTTTATTTTGACCGTTTGTTAATTTCATAATCAGAAAAGGTAAGCATTATTTTAAAATTATCACAGGTTTAGAAAAATGTAGTGCTGACATCACTTTTTTCTTTTATCTACATGCTTATTCCCTTCTCCAACAACTCAGATTTCTTAAGCCTAATTGTCTATTAGCAAAGTGGTCTGACTTCATCATACAGGCTCCCAGAGTTTCATGTGGAAGCATGAGTTGCCAGTCTGTTGATTTTCAGTGTCCCTTCTGGACTTGTTAAGTGTTCATTGCCATAGACAGTCCAGAATTATCAGTATTGTTCTCATTACCAATGCGTTATGGCTAAGCTTACTTGATTTTTTTAGATGGGGAAGAGGTGTATCTGACTTTTCCAGTCTCCGCAGAGGCTTTGCTATTTCTGTAATCTTAGGCTACACTAAATCAGCCTTCAGGGAAAGGCGGGGTTTTAAGAGTAGGAGGGCTGTAGATCTGAAACAGCAAGATTTATAAGAGAGAGTGTGTATGTTCCTTCCATAGGTGGACAACTTGTCCATACTGGCTGGTACTCTTTAAAGGGACAAATGTCAACATCTAAAGTGGATCAAAGGCAAAAGATACCTTTGGTGAGACTAGCAGGAAAGCCATTGGGTGTGCTGTTTTGAACATCTGTTGGATTTTTTCTGCATTTCTCTCAGGAAGGATGGCTCTAGGTTAGGGTAGCAGACCCCAGTAGTTCTTGGAGAGAGGAACTACATATCAAAGAGACAAGAGTTCTTAATTCTCTTAAGTACAATTTTTATTTAAAAAATATGGAAAGATTTTTTTACTTCAGAAGCACAAATTAATTAATTAATTTTTTGAGATGGAGTCTCTGTTACCCAGGCTGGAGTGCACTGCCGCGCTCTCGGCTCACTGCAACCTCTGCCTTCCGGGTTCAAGTGATTCTCCTGCCTCAGCTTCCTGAGTAGCTGGGATTACAGGTGCATGCCACCACGCCTGGCTAATTTTTGCATTTTCGATAGAGACGGGGTTTCACCATGCTGGCCAGGCTGGTCTCGAACTCCCGACCTCAGGTGATCTGCCTGCCTCTGCCTCCCAAAGTGCTGGGATTACCGGCGTGAGCCACCACGCCTGGCCACACACATTTATTTTTAAAAAAGCTTTAGTAACCAACATCATATATTTAGAGGGGCCACCATGTTGAAATTCAGCAGGGGTAAGTGAAGAGAATTAGAAATCTGGCCATTTTTTAAGATCTGTATGAAATAGGATGACAACTTGAAAATTGATATATGTGCTAGATCTTCAACAAATAAGAAGACATGTTTTTAAATGGGAAGTGAGGTTTCTGAAATTAAAAGGGTGTTTATTTTGCACATAAAAATTTTTTATGTCCATATTTGTTCCCATTTCAAATAGTTGATGTTTATCTTCAACAATTGTTTTCCCTTCCCAAAACATACTGTCTTGTTTTTTAATAGTACATACTGTGATACACATTACAAATCCATACTGATAAAAGAAATGACACACTTCTTCTCAGTAGGGCGGTGTTTCTTTATCATAATGAACTATAGCTATAGACTGTGTCATAAAAGAGACAAATTATTCGCTATTTAAAGTTTTCACTCCCAAAGAATCAGTTGTTCTATCTTACTGGCAAAACCCTGATAGAGTGTATGGGAAAGCTATACCAGCTGAGCGGGCTGGCATCCGTGCTCTTCGTGTAGGGATCTCTTAATTAGCAAGCTTCCTTAGGACCCTTAACAAAGATTGTGTTCTCTCCACTTTTGATTTACATCTAATTTGGGGGGAACACATGCATAAAATCAAGTACTACTTCAAAGAGTTGTATTCACTTCAACTGACTTTTCATAATGTGGTTTATAATTTGTTGTTTTGGATAAAATGATGCTAATCCCAATGCAGGTAAATTTAGATAGATACCATGTCTCTGTCTTCTTTAGAGTAATACGTATTTGTAAACAGTAAAAACAGTACAAAGTAAGATCATGAGTTTAAAAATTATAAAATCACTGTAAATAATTACTGTATTGAAATGTGTAATAATAAAATATAGTGGATTCGATAATAAACTGGTGTGGTAGAAATTCTAGGACTCATGAAGAGGTACTTTAGCAATTTTAGATTTTACTTTGTATAAACAGCTGGAGTTCAAGTTCTGTTCCAGTCCAGCAGTACCTATAGACAGCACCTGATGTATGGCTGGCAGGTGCTGGGAGCTGGGCCTGTGGTTTGTCCCCCTGCTTTTTAGTCAGTGTGTCTCCCACAGAGTTGTGTACCTCTTGGTGACTTTGGAGCAGGAGTTGTTGAGGAATAAACAAGTCTTCCTCTGATTGCTTGACACTGGCCTCCTCTGTGCCTGCGCTGTAGAGGGTGAGCTCTGCATCTCTCTGTCCACGGATGGTCAGGAAGAGAGGGTGATCTTTACTGACACTTAACGTCACTCACTGGGGGCCTATCCTATAGTCCCTGGTGTAGTAGGTGGGAAATGAATCAAACTACTATATTTTCTTGTTTTAATCTGATGGCTTGTCTTGATTCATTTTCTTAGCAAATTGCAGTTATAGTTCATGGGCCTGTGGAGTGATTGGCACCTTTGAGGGTGGAAGGGGTTTTTGGAGTCAGCCGACCCAGGTTTCAGTCTGTCACATAATAGCCCTGTGACCTTGGGCAAGCGACTTTTCTGAGTTTCAATTTCCATATTTATAGGTTAGAATAATAGTTTGTAGCTCACCTAGTTTTTGTGAGGATTAAAATAATGTCAAGAATGTAAAATTCCTATTGGTGAACGCTTAAAACCAAACAGAACGTGGTGGTGGTAGAGAATTACCACTTCACGGCCTGGGAGCCCGAAACAGTGCGGGTTTGGATGACACACCATTTGTTTAAGAAATGACACTGGCCCTGCAGCATCCCTGCTGTGCTGGAGCACCGGTGGGCTTAATCACGGCTCCTGGATGCACTGGGATTAGTGAATGGGGCCTGGTCCATCCAGCATGGTCATTGCCCAAGATGCGCTCCCTGAGTGGACACATGCCCCAGAGCACACAGAAAGCCTGAAGCAGATGCTGGCAGAACCACCCCAGGGTGTGCAGGGAGGTTGATGGTGAAGATACCAATTTGCTTTTAAGAATTTTACTGTGAACTCTTTAGGATTTAGGGCCTATTACTTGAAGTGTTCTTTTAATCTTAAGTTTTTCTTTATATGACATTTTTCCCCCTTCATCTGTGGATTTTAAAATTTTGTCTTGTTCCTTTATTATTAGAAAAGGAAATAAGTATTTAATGAATGAAAAAATAAATTTAGATAAATGCAAGGAAGAGGGAAGAAAAGCAGTATGAATTTTTCACCCAACTCTACAGTGTGATTTAGAAAATTTCCAAAGTATTATCTATAAAGGACTTTTATAGATTATTTTCCATTATACTTTGATCATCATTTGGATCTTTTGAAATTGGCATTTAAAAATTCTGAGCTCTGGAGGGCACCTCAAGAGCTTTTCAACCGATTCACTGCCTGCAGGCAAGAAAACAGCTTAACCATGCCAAACCTATGATTTCCCTCCCCGTTTTTTTTTTTGTTTTGTTTTGTTTTTAAAGACAGTTTTGCTCTTGTTGGCCAGGCTGGAGTGCGATGGTACAATGGTACAATCATGGCTCACTGCAACCTTCCCCTCCTGGGTTCAAGTGATTCTCCTGCTCGGCCTCCCGAGTAGCTGGGATTACAGGTGTAAGCCACTATGCCCAGTTAATTTTTGTATTTTTAGTAGAGAATGGTTTTCACCATTTTGGCCAGGCTACTCTTAAACTGCTGACCTCAGGTGATCGCCTTGGCCTCCCAAAGTGCTGGGATTACAGGCGTGAGCCACCACACCCACCTGATTTCCCTCCCATTCTTAAAAGCTTTCTACAGCAGTGTCTTATATAGTTAAAATAAACAAGAACCATCGATATCGTTTCAAAATAAGGGGAAATGTTGCCTGTGGACATTTAACTGAAGAAAAGAAATGACAGTGTAAGATTGCATTGAGATCTTAAGGACTGCTTTTGCCAAATGGTAGATAATTTGCTAGCAGTTTTAGGCAGTTGTTTCACACATCTTAACACGTGGTTAATGACTGTGTGACTGAGATAACTGGATCAGCCCTCTTTCCAAAATAAGCTAAGCGTATTTAAGTAAACCTTGCTACTATTGAGCATTTTGTAGTTGTTTCATTTACCACCTAGTTTTTTTTTTTTTTTTCCACTTGTAACTGATCACACGAATCATTGCGGTTCTTGCGGTTCTATCACAGTACTAGTACTAAGAGGTATTTATTTTAAGGATCTATTGTTGACTTTTTCATTACATTTCTATAGCCAGATCAAGTCAAATTCACGTTCTCAAGTATATCCAAGGAAATTAAGAGCTGGTGCATGAAAAGATAGGAGAACAATCCAAATCCTAGCAGTTATCAAAAGCAAGTTTATAATACAGGCAAGTGCATTCACTCCTTTCTATATATTTTCAAGGAGCGACATTTAAGAGAGAGTAAACATTCACTCCTTTCTGTATCTTTTCAGGGAGCAACATTTAAGAGAGTAAGAGTATTTGTATCTAAATTAGATTGGAATAATTTTTTTCCTGTCCCTTTACTTTCCTGTAGCTTGCTGATGACCGTATGGCACTTGTGTCAGGCATCAGCTTAGATCCAGAAGCAGCAATTGGTGTGACAAAACGGTCACCTCCTAAATGGGTGGATGGAGTGGATGAAGTAAGTTGCATGTTAGTTTCATACCATCTTGTTTTTTTAAGTAATTATGACAATGTATTTTAAGATATCTGTCATATAAACGAATTTGGCCGCACTTGAATGTATATTTCTAGAAATACTTCAGGTTAAGTTGTCTTTGTGTGTGTTAATGATTTTAGCTTTAGTTTTAACACTGGTAGTAACTACCTGAATTATAGGAATAAATTGAAAACCATGCAACAAGGAAGAATGCTATGTGATTTTCTGGTAATTTGAATTAAAGCTGCTCACACATCAGCAAGCCAACAAGTTTGCTGAAGACCACATTCTGTATGCTGAGTGTAGCTGATTGTCTCGGAGGCAGACCAATAGCTTGCCTGGCATCAGTGGAGTTCTGTGACTTCATTTGCTTAGATTCAGTATGATGTTGGCCGGATTAAGCAGAAGATGAAAGAATTGGCCAGCCTTCATGACAAGCATTTAAACAGACCCACCCTGGATGACAGCAGTGAAGAGGAACATGCCATTGAGATAACTACCCAAGAGATCACTCAGGTGAGGAGTGCAAGTGAGTCCTGGGGAAACCAGTGAGCCTTCTCATGGCAATCTCAGAAACTAGAGTGTTACTCAGAGTCAGTCTCCTGGAGTTCATTTCCCAACCCGAAGTTCTCAAAGGGACCTCAGTAGGCCCAGAAGTCCTCCAACTGTCAGCGTAGGTACCTGTGAGGCCTTGGAGGTGTGGGGACTGTTTTTCAATTGTTGGCAGATACTACTGTGGACTGATAAAGTAATAAAGTAAATATGAAATTTCAAACATTATCGAGTTCAATCTTTTGATTTTAAAATGTATAACTAATATCGTATACTAGTGGTAAGAAATTTTAATGCTAAAATATAGTCCTCATAATTGAAAAAACAACTTAGTATCCTAGAAAAAATTTTTATAAAATACTAAATTTGATTAATTTTAAAATAATAGGACTAGTGTTTAAACTTCATTGTTTACATTTTTTACTTAAGTCTCCTGGGTGCTAATTATCAGAGGAATATGGTGCTTTGAGAAAAGCCCTGGGGTTTTGGAATGTTTGAAACCTGACTCTTATCAGTTTAACAGTTACATGATTCTCATTTAATCCCTCTGACTCTAGTGTTCTCATCTGTAAAATGGGACTAATAATAATAGTATCATCCTCATAGGATGCTTGTTAGGGATTAAATGAGAGGAATGCAATAATAATATGATATATGATAATACAGGTTGACCATTCCTAATCTGAAAATCTGAAATCCAAAATGCTCCAAAATTTGAAACTTTTTTTTGAGTGCCAATATGACACTCAAAGGAAATGTTCATTGGAGCATTTTGGATTTCGAATTTTCAGATTGGGGTATTCAACTAGTAGGTATTCTGCAAATATTCCAAAATCTCCCAAAATTTGAAATCCTAAACATTGTCGATCCCAAGCATTTCGGATGAGGGATACTCAGCCTGTCTAACGTGATACGTGAGCAGCTGGGCATACAGCAGGCCTTACACGGCAGGAGCTGAAATCTAGTGAAGTCTTTCTGTGTGTATAAATTAAGCCACAGATTCCTTTTATCTGTTCACCTTTCTCTAAACCAGCCTGAGTGAACAGAGCTTCTCACTTCTCTCTCTGGCTTGTGATGATGGCAGTGTTAGCAGAGGGGCTTCTCTCCCAGGCTTGCCCTGAGCCTCGGGCTTGTTCTCTTAGCTCTTCCACAGGTGCCAGCGTGCCGTGCAGGCCCTGCCGAGCCGGGCCCGGGCCTGCTCCGAGCAGGAGGGGCGGCTGCTTGGGAACGTGGTGGCCTCGCTGGCGCAGGCCCTGCAGGAACTCTCCACCAGCTTCCGGCACGCACAGTCAGGCTACCTCAAACGTGAGTGCTGCCCGGGCCTAGTGAAGGGATTTTGAGTAAGAAAAGCACTTTATGTTTTCTTTTTTGCGACTAATTTTTCATTTAGTCCAATACCTTTCATTGTTACCTTTTGAACACGTTCACACCTTATGCAATAAAGGGAAGCCTCCTCCTCATGTGAAACCCTGGCTTGGAATGAAGGCACAGCGTGGGGTACCAACCAAGGCTGGGGGAGGGCACCAAGATAGTTCAGCATCTCAGCAAACAAAATTTGTTTTGTGTCAAGCTGCAAGAATTTGAAAATCAAGCACATTTTAAAAACCTGTTGTTTTCTAGATGTTGGGGTTTGGGAGAGCTGCTCTTCAATAGGTAAAAAGCAGTTGTTATTACTGAAAGCCACGTATTTGCATAACAACCAAAGTGTTGGAGAGCGCCTGAGAAACCCTCCCCAGGGTTCTTGAAACACTTCCTCTGCTGGCACCATGGGTTTCACCCAACAGACCTTTCCTTCCCAAATAGTGCAAAGCCAGATTTCAGCTCTCTTCTTATTCTCATCACCCTGTAAACTGGGTTTTTAAAAAATTGCCATTGTAATCAATAAAGTCCCCACATACTCCAAAAAAAACTTCAGTTCACCCTCCCTCTGACAACTGGCACATTTGTATTTTAATTTTATTACTTCCAAAATTTGATTAGGGCCATATGGAATTCTTATTAGAGATGCTTCTAGAGAGAAATGCTGATTTTTTTTTTAATGTTTTGTAACAGCAGTTAGATTAAATATTTCTGTTTCACTTAGAAATTCTCAGATGGTTGTGTCATTTTTGTCTTGGCATCAAGTGAATTGTGCACATTTACACTGTGACTTTGTCTTGAATAATCCCAAATGCCTGCATATTGTTGTATGTTTGTAATTCTTTACTCTCCCTCCACCCCCATTGGAGTTAGGCTTCTTTAAAGCGGCTAAGAATATCTCAATTTTGACTGTTGGAGTTTACTCTAGAATTCCCCCTTTTAATGGTAGAACAATACCCAGGATGGTCTACATATTCAAGTAAGGTGAATTCCTATCTGTGATAGGCATGAAGAATCGAGAGGAAAGATCCCAGCATTTTTTCGACACATCAGTACCACTAGTGGATGATGGAGACGATCATACTCTTTACCATCGGGTATGTGAGTGGCTGCAAAGCTGATTACTGTGTCTGTGCACCCCATTCTGCTGCTCTCTCCTCCTTGACCTCGAACTTCTGCACAGTGTCAATGGATTGGTACAGTTGACTTGTATATTCATCAAGTTGTTTTTGTAGCAGGTGGAAGAACAGCCATACTGTTTCTTCCTTTCCAAAGGCCACAGAGAGACCTTGTAATCTGCTTTCCAGAGCCTTTGGGAAAGTGGTCAACACCCTGCCTTCTTAGGAAGGGCCCAGAGAAGTAGAGGGCTGTCCCAGGGGTTTTGTTTATCTGCCCTTGCAGAGTTGCAGACGTGGGCTTCTGTCTTCCCTGCTATGGCCTCAGAGCTTTAGATCCTGCTGGCTTAGGGAGTTTGAATCTTTCCTGTTAGGGAAAAATAAGTGCTTGCTTATTATTTATGTGCTTTGTAGAAATATTTTCAGAATTCATTTTCTTTAAATTATTGTCTTTAAATTATATCTAAACAAGTACACCATAGCTTTCCTGAGAGGGGAAAACAATCTATCCAACAAATTGTGCACTATTTTGCTAGGGTTTTACAGATGACCAGTTAGTTCTGGTGGAGCAGAACACACTGATGGTGGAAGAGCGGGAACGAGAGATTCGCCAGATTGTACAATCCATTTCTGACCTGAATGAAATATTCAGGGACTTAGGAGCGATGATTGTAGAACAGGTATGTGAGCTGGCCTTCCTCGTGAATAGGTTTTCCTGCCATACTATCTGTTCCTTCTTTTTCCTGTACTCCTTTCAGGGAAAAAAATTGGAGCCAATTCCCCCAACATGTGTGTGTGCACCTGTCATTTTATATGTGTGTGTGTGTGTGTGTGTACACACACACATACATATGTTTATGAATATATACATAGCATCCCTAATTAGAAAATATGAAGTTCAGAATGCTCCAGAATTTGAAACTTTTTGAGTGTTGATATGATGCCACAAGTGGAAAATTCCTACACAAGACCTCATGTGACAGGTTGCAGTCAAAACTTTGTTTTATGCACAAAACTAGTAAAAATATTGTAGCCGAGTGCGGTGGCTCACGCCTGTAATCCCAGCACTTTGGGAGGCTGAGGCAGGTGGATCACCTGAGGTCAGCAGTTCGAGACCAGCCCGGTCAGCATGGTGAAACCCTGTCTCTGCTAAAAATACAAAAAAATTAGCTGGGCATGGTGGCAGGTGCCTGTAATCCCAGCTACTCAGGAGGCTGAGGCAGGACAATTGATTGAACCTGGGAGGTGGAGGTTGCAGTGAGCCGAGATTGCACCATTACACTCCAGCCTGGGCAATAAGAGTGAAACTGTCTCAAAAAATATATATATATAGTATAAAATTACTTTCAAGCCATGTATATAAGGCATATGAAATATTAATGAATTTTGTGTTTAGACTTGGGTCCCATCCAGAATATCTCATTATGTGTATGCAAATATTCCAAAATCTAAAAAAAATCCCCAATCCAAAATACTTCTGGTCTCAAGCGTTTCAGATAAGGGACACTCAGCCTGAAGATGTGTGTATTTACAAAATTATATACATAGGCTACTGTCATTCCCTATAAGAATATTAATAAATCTTTTTTTGATAAAAAATAAATAGAAGTTCTAATATTCTCTTCCCATGCCTCGAGGGTACTCATGTGAGCACCCTACTGTAGAGACCGTGTTGACTCTGACCAAGCTCAGCAATGATTGTGATAATATAGAAGATTTCCCTTCTAATTTTGGCAGTTATTGTGTAATGGCGATTGGAACCACTAGCTTTCAAGTAGAATTAAATTGTTGTTCACTGTTAAAATCTGATTAGGGCATTTTATTATCTTGCCAGCAGGGATTTGGGTCCTGATCCCCCTGAAACCAACTGCAGAATGGAGTGTTCAGGCTCTGGAAGATCCAGTTACATTAATTACTCCAGCGGTTCCCAGTGAACTGCTCTCTCTTCTTATCCAACATGTTTCCAATAAAAGCTCTGTTCTTCCTCATAGCCCAGTGTCTACTTCTTCCAATTTGTATTAAGAGATTAAACAATTAAACATCTTCCCCTTGAGTCCGAATTTTTAATTTTAGGTGGTAGACTGGAGTTTACCATTTTCTGCTCTGACCCATAGAGATGTGTATCCACGTTTACAGACATGATAGTCAATTTGCAGGTCTACTCATAACAGGGTCGAGCTTACCTGGTGGTCTCTGCTTACTTGAATCCAAGTATGTAGACAGCAAAGGGGCACAGAGCTTCTGTGCTGGTCAGAGCCTCTGTCCACTGAACCATATATTGTTTAAGGCCCCAGTAAGTCTGAATATGGCATATTCTACGGTAACTGAAACTAATAAGGAAACCTCAATCTGTCAGTACTTCTTTCTCGTGAGCTAGACGTGATGGCAGTAACCAGCAGTCTGCCATCAGGCTCCTGACACCGCTTGCGGGTGAACTCCAGAGCCCTCCGTGTGTACGTGCAGCATACAGGGAAAGAAAATATCATCTTATGGATGCTGATGTCTGTAATTTGCATATCTCATTTTTGATGTTCAATTTTCACAGTTGCCATTGTTGATTGTCTGTAACTGTTATTTATTACCTAGGGTACGGTCCTTGATAGAATTGACTATAACGTTGAACAGTCCTGTATCAAAACCGAAGATGGCTTGAAACAGCTTCACAAGGTAATAACATGTCTTTCAAAAGTTGGGAATTTTAGGAACTATTTTCAAATAATCAAGAATTGGTAAGAAGGTTCTCTTCCACCATAACGATCTTCAGCATTCTTGTCTGTGTTGTCCACTCTCAATACAGTAGTGTAAAAAGGGATTCGTCATTTCATTTAAAGCCAGTTGTGGGGTCTGTTGCCGTTTTATTGTAGTTAATGATTCCAGGTGTATCTCACACTTAAATCAAAAATTGCCAAGAACCCCTTTTTGTGACAGTAAATTCTAAAGGAATTGGAGTTCTTCCTTTTAGAAAATATTTCATTCTTTTTTGATGCTTCTCGTTTTAGGAAATCAGTTGGGCATTTGCTAAAATATGTGTTGAAAATCTGTGTGCTTGTTGCCACTGACTTGGGCCTCTCTTGTTGTGACACATTTCTGATGAATTGCTCGTGGAGAATCATTCTGGAGAAGATAAAAATCTAATTTTCTCTTTAATTATCACAGCATATCTGTATATTACCTTGAGAAAAGAGAAGTTTGTTGAAGTGAGAGTAGAGTAGTAATTCTTTTATTCTGTGCTAATAAGGCAGCTGTTCCAGGGATGTTTTTTTGTTTTTTTTTTGTTTTTTTTTTTTTTTTGAGAAGGAGTCTCGCTCTGTCTCCCAGGCTGGAGTGCAGTGGTGCGATCTTGGCTCACTGCAAGCTCCGCCTCCCGGGTTCACGCCATTCTCCTGCCTCAGCCTCCTGAGTAGCTGGGACTACAGGCGCCTGCCACCACGCCCGGCTAGTTTTTTGTATTTTTAGTAGAGATGGGGTTTCACCATGTTAGCCAAGATGGTCTCGATCTCCTGACCTTATGATCCGCCCACCTCAGCCTCCCAAAGTGCTGGGATTACTGGCATGAGCCACCGCGCCTGGCCTCAGGGATGTTTTTTATGATATTCTTTCTTTTAAAAAAATAGATGGAAAGCATCTTAGGAATTTTATCAGTTATGAGAAACATGCATAAACTGCTGGAGACTCCCATATATAATTGGTTACATATTTTCTTTAAAAGGAATATAACAATACTTCACAAATTAAGTCATATCCATTTCCTTGTGTCTTTGGGACTCAGTGGAGTTTCTAGCCATATAATGAGTGTTTTGCCATTTCACTACTGGACTACGCTACCATTTTTCTAAAATCAGTCGCTTCCTATACCAGAGATCACAGAGATCACCCCATCTAACAGCAGTATTGGGTTTACAAAAAGTCAGCCCTTGCACCAGTCTAACCAGAAGCCCTGAGCTGTCTTATCAGGGGGCTTGTTGCCACGTGTGGGTGGATATGAGACTTCAGCCTATGGTGGGGAAGAGAATTCTGACCTCGTCTATGCAGGGGTTTTTTAAGCATTTAGATTAATTTGGTTGCCAAGCCCTGTCTATTAAAAGTGAAAACTAACTTTAGTTTCTCACTCTGTAATACCCAGGTTCTGATGTGCTGCTGAATTATGCATTGGTTTTGAAGTTTCTTAAATAAAAACTAGTGAAATATGTTTTGTAATATAACACAGATAAAAGGAAAAGCTTTCTCTGCGGGAGTGAGCAAATCTAGTGGGAACTAAAAATTTTGTTTTAGATTCTACTTTATAAATCATTTTGAGAGGTTTTACAGTATATTATTTAGTACTGGCTTCCCTGGTGTTCTGGGTTACTTATTAGAAAAGTCAGCGTGCTCCATCTTCCCTCCAGCCACAAGGCTGTAGGCAGCACGCGCGACTGGCCGCGTGCTCGGCAGTCGGCTAGTCTAAGGGTGATTGAGCGTCGGGAGCTGCTCCCCATGACCGGACTCTCCGGTGCTCTTCTCTGCCTGATGTTTCCTCCTGGTGAATGAGGGGCTCCTCCAGGTGGGCGGGCAGGCTCAGGGAACAAGCCCACCGTAGGGGTTGGAGCAGGAGAGATTGCCATTCTCGCCAGGGCTGCCTTCCCACTGTCTCCTCCTCCCTTCTGTGCCATAGCAAGGTCTGGAAGAGGCAGCGCATGCTCTCTCTGGACGTGCGTCTCGGCGCCCTCTGAACTCTGCTGTCCTCTGGCTCTCCTTTCTCAGTGCTGTGTGTCTTTCGCCAGCCAGGCAGGGCCCTTTGGCATTTCTCCACCGGGCATGGTGGAGTTCCCGCGCTCCTGCCGAGCTTCCAGGATGCGGTGTTCGGGTGAAGAGATGTGCAGGGTGAGGCCTGGTGCCCAGATGGAGCTTGGAGAGCTCCTTTGCTGTATTGTTAGCAGCACTGGGAGGATGCGCCTCAGAGGGATCTTTATGCGTATGACATCCATGGGGCACACGTGTGTTTTTATTTCAAACGATGAGTTCTTGTTTCCAAATTTAGGGGAGGTTGAAATGGGGCCTCTTTGGGCATCTGTTGCCTACCTGCCAGGTACGGTCCTCCAGCCCGTTGTTTCCTTCCGCGGTGAAGGAGCTGTGCCTTCGCTTCAAGAACACGGAGCAGGAACAGGCGGCCCTTGCTGCAGGGGCGCTTGCCACGGCCTGTAGGAGGAGAAGCAGGGAGAAGCACGTCCAGCTGTACACGGAAGCATGAGCTTTCACTTCCCTGTCAGCCTTTGTCTTAGTAGTAGGTTTCCGACAAGTCCATTTCCACGTCCAGGGTAAATAAGCAGCTCCGGGATCATGGGGCTCTTCCACTCCTGGTGATTGAATTCCCTGGGATTGATGGAGGGATTACAATCATGTAGCCTGTAGCAGAGACCTCAGTCACTGTGCAGAGAGATCTGGAAGCCTCATTCTGGAAACAAGTGGGACCTGATCTGGGATTTTGGGGAAAATGACGGCCTTTTTTCCCTCCTCTTTTTGTAGGCAGAACAGTATCAAAAGAAGAATCGGAAGATGCTTGTGATTTTAATATTATTTGTCATCATCATTGTGCTCATTGTTGTCCTCGTTGGCGTGAAGTCTCGATAAGTGGCATTGGGTTTTCGTGTGTGCCGCACGTGTGGATCTCCCGGGTGTGAGGGGCTTGGCCTGCGCCCCGCCAGCTGCCCACAGAGGTGCAGCCTCGAGGAATCCGAGGGCGTCCGGGCAGCGAACCTTACCATCCACGGACTTCTCCTCCCCTAGTCCTGCTCAAGCGGTCCGGGGAATGGGTTTTTGTTTTTCCTTCATTGTTGAGAATTGAAGAACCTTTGGTACTGCTGCACAATAGAGATTGAGTTCTGTGATCAGTTATAATATATATATTTTTTTTAGAAAGAGAAAATGAGCTGAGAGTTTACAGGCACTGCAGAAGCTGTTCAGTATTGTATGTGTATATGCTATTTTTTTAGCAGCCATGTCTGAGCAGAATGTTAAAATAATTTTTGGAAAAATTTTCTTTAAACCATCTGGTTTTTAAGAAATTTGTTACCAAAAATTGATGAGTAGAGGCAAAGATGCCTCTTCATCTTTCTCTATATATTTTCCAGTTGAAAACAAACTAAGAAGTCCTTTAAGAATTTATAATCCGTTCCCCATTAACTTAATTTAGCTTTTCCATCACTGTTAATGATCAGAGTAACAAAGTGTGAAAAATAAGAAACCATCATTGATGTTAATTAACACATTTAGATAGGCCAGTTGAAACAGCTTCATAAGTTTAAATTAATTGTAAATGGAATATTCCTCATTTAAAATGTTTGCACTGCATTTTCTACTGTAAACCAAAAGAGGTTACTAAGCAAAACCGCCTACATTTAAGTTAGTGATTTAAATGAATCTCACATTAAAAGAAAGCTTGACAGTGTTATGAAAGCCACCAGACTCAGCCAGTGTGTCCCCGTGGGTATCCCCAGCCATCCTTGCTCAATCCATGAGTTATATACTAACTACATAATGCCCTGTGCAAACCAGACTCTGTTTAATGAACTGTGAATTTACACAGAGGCCATTTTAAATGGGTCACCCCATTTAGGATTAGTGGATCTCAGATTATTAACCAAACATCACTCCATTTCAAAGTAAAATATTCCACCAGCGATTTGATTTATTGGCTGTTCCATTGCCTGCCGCTGAGCAATGCCCAGGAAGCAGGCACATTGCCAAGGACTGGGCGCATCTTGACTAGGAAGCTCCTCGTTTGTGTGAGCGTGGGTTAGATCGCCAAAGTAGGACTTTGTCATTTACCTACCTATTATCAATATGGTGCTTGAATATATTCGTATAACTGTAGAACAGTGTGGATAGTGATGGTAACTTTGAAGTTGTTCATGTTTTATTGGCCTTGTTTTAATTGACACCAGTAGAGTCTTAATGGTCTTTGTGTAAATTTTAATGGCTTTTCCATTGTTTTTGCTTCTTTAAAAAGTTTAGGAAGAATATGACCTCATTAAATGTGTTTTATTTGGACCAGTCACATAAAATATCTCTCTAGAATTGACTTTGAAGTTGTTTACAGAAATTTAAACTCAATTCCAGAGACTGAAGTTGTCCAAACAGCTCATGGGCTTAACGTCCAAACCCCTGCCCAGCCTTCCCTTTCCAAGTTGGTGCCACTTCCAGGTAGCCACTGGTTTTCTTATTACTGATGTGGCTGTGGAATGATAAGGACCTAGAGGGACCCTGGCATTTCAGGAAGCAGACCTGGTATTCCATGACAAGCATTGTTTAGGAAGGAGGGCTGGAGAATAAGAAGCCAGCACCTCATCAGCGGTTGAGAGTCACTGCAGGTGTCCTTTCATCCCGGCTGATTTTAACCCATGGTTGAGACATTCCAAATTAGATCTGCTGCTCTTAGGAGTGGGGCTGTCCAAATTAGGGAACCTGCCTCAAAAACAGTCCACAGTGGCAATACCGGATTCCTGTTCAAGCTTTTTAAAGTGCTGAGTCTTATAAACCCCTGAAGGAAAATGACCCTTTAAGAGAGGATCATCATTTATTTATATTTATTTTCACCAAATAGGGTGATGAGGGTTGGTTTTTGTCCCCTCAACCCATTTGGGTAAAATAATGGATCTGATTAGAAATTGTTTTAAGGAGGGGCTGGGCGCGGTGGCTCACGCCTGTAATCCCAGCCTTTGGGAGGCCAAGGCAGGCGGATCATGAGGTCAAGAGTTCAAGACCAGCCTAGCCAACATGGTGAAACCCCATCTCTACTAAAAATACAAAAATTAGCTGGGCGTGGTGGGACACGCCTGTAATCCCAGCTACTCAGGAGGCTGAGGCAGGAGAATCGCTTGAACCCGGGAGGCAGAGGTTGTAGTGAGCCGAGATCACGCCACTGCACTCCAGCCTGGGTGACAGAGTGAGACTCCGTCTCAAAAAAAAAAAAAACAAAAATAGTTTTAAAGATCCCGTCTGGGTGGGAGAGCTGTCCCTTTCCACCTGAAGCCAGGGCACTGGCGCTATCACTGGTTTCCCAAGGTGGGAGAGAGACAGACCCAGCCTGGAGCTGGCCCCGGGCCTGTGTGCTGACTTCTTGGAGTCCTCAAACCACTGTATTTTTCTGTTGAGCCTGTACTTGGGGAGAGATCAGTAGCATTGGAGGAAAAGAATCATGGTACCTCAGGGTTTCTTTCCCTTTACTCGCTGACAGCCATGGTCTGTGGGCACCTCATGCTTTTCCACACTCTGTTGGGCCATGGAGGTAATGATCACCCAGGCCAGTCTCCTCTGCCTGGGATGCACCCTCTGAGAGGAGGCCTAGCAGGGCAGGCTCCCTCTGGGCATCCCTGGACGCAACTTCTGGACACATGCCTCCTTTAAAGTGTCCAGGGGTAGCTCAGGTTGAGTGGAGGTAGAAGGAGAAACAGACATGTTTACCATCCATTTTCCAAAGCTCCTGATCTTTCCCAAGATTGTAACTGAAAACTGCTGTCTCTTGTTTCGTTCGTTTTGGGGGTGGTGGTGCTGGCTGAGCCATGCTTGTGAAGTGGTGTGTGTCTCTGATTTAACGGATTCACTGCTTTCTCTGCTAATTGAGAGAGCGTTATTTACATTATTTATTTGTTTTGACACAAGTGCTTTCAGTGTTTTATCCTAGCTAATAGCTTCTTAAAGGTAATAAAACCCTTCCAACCTAATTGGTCAGATAAGACTTTTTTTCTTGTATGCTTAAATAAAGCAATTAGTGAAGCGCTTCTATCCAAAATGACTTTTTTGTCCTTTTTTAAAACCAATTTACTGTTACTGGAAACTTTTTGTACAATAAAGCAATCATGCAGATTAAAGAACATCCTGTAATCCTAGTATTAATTTAACAATGGGTTCATGGTTTCTTCCAATGCATTTGTGTTAGGAGAGGGCCTGGCCAGTTTTGTGATCCTTTGGGCCCCTGACTGTTTTGTGCCTGAGGCCTTTGCCTCAGTGTCTGCAAGTTGATCTATCATTATGGATGCTTTCAAAGGGACAATCTATTTGCTATCCAATATACAAAAAGAACAACTGCCGAAAAGGCAGATAATTATTTTTCTTATGAAAATATGTGCTTTATATACATACCAAGAAACATTTGGAAATCTTCAAATAAAACTGTGATGTGCCTTGTTGAGAAGCAGTTCTTACACACAGGCTCTAGGAGACTTAACTTTCTAAATGACATTTTTTCCTACTTTGTTACACCAAAAACTTCAGAGACAGTGTCTGCCAGTTGAACTCAAAGCCAAGACTATGTTTCCCCTTGATTGTGCCCGTCCTGGGGTCCTCCAAGGAGGACCTTTGTCCTGAAACTTGACTTTGATGCATATGTTTTGCTGGTGGGAGATGTGGACCTGAGTGATGGTAGGGGTATGTGGTTTCGTCACCAGAACTTATGCATACAAAAAATAGCAGCTGTCATGCCAGGTCTCCTTGGCGCACTTGGTGTTTGGTTTTGAGGTGCTGCGGTGACTCAACAGCAGTTCCTTTCAGAGCCTGTTGACAAACTACACAAAAGAAACGACCTCCTCTTGCGCTCTCACCTTGTTTTTTGTTTAGAAATTACATTTCCCCAACTCACATGTTGGCCACTGGCTCTGTCCAAGAATCAAATCCACTCTGAAAGGAGAGACATTTGCCATAGGGTTCAAGAATATTCTGACCGGCAATGATACTTAATAACATTAAAGAAATCTTCCATCCCGAAGAGGACCACATAAAGGTACAACACCCATGTAACTGGTGACCTCTTGGGCTACGTTCTCAGCTAAGTCTTTGGTGGCCCAGTCTTGAACCAGTGCTACAAGAGTATGCAGACACAATCCGAAGAAGCATTGCTGTCAGTGGAGAGCTGCAAGATGCCACCAATGACTTGGAGGCATGACTTGCCAGGAGGCCTGGAAGTGGGAGACCATTGGGGTGTCCCTTTGAATGCTCACTTTGACAGCAGGTAAACAGGCTGGATATAGATTTCCTCTGGAAATTTAGCGACCATCCTATAAGAAGTCTGATCCTGATCCAACGTTTGAGCAATCTAGAATCCTTCCCGGTCTGTCTGCCATAGTTCTGTAGCCACAACAAAATTTACCTAGCCTATTTTCCTAGCACCATTTCTATCTAAATCTAATAGGAGAGCATGTCATTCTACATGTGGCCTTAATTTTGATCATCGGCATCCCTTACCCTAGTTAAGCCATGTGGGACCATGTGGAGAGAGCTTTTCACAGAAGGGATATCCCTAGTTGGGTGTAGGGAAGACAGCTCATCACAAAGACTTCCTGCTTCTCTGTGGTTCTAATTCATCAATTAGTTATGGTAAGTTTCCATTCTAAGATTTAGGTAGGCAGACCTGGTTCATCCAGCATGAGCTACATTTCAGAACTTAGCACTGTGCATGCACATGAATGCATGCCTAGAATTGTATATCTTGGTGTATATTGGCTCTTAAAAACTAATTTTCTTGGCCCGGCGCAGAGGCTCACACCTATAATCCCAGTACTTTGGGAGGCCAAGACAGGTGTATCGCTTGAGGTCAGGAGCTCAAGACCAGCCTGGCCAACATAGTGAAATCCTGTCTCTACTAAAATACAAAAGTAAGCTGGGTGTGGTGGCACGTGCCTGTAAACCTAGGTACCAGGGAGGCTGAGGCAGGAGAATTGCTTGAACCCAGAAGGCAGAGGTTGCGGAGAGCCGAGATTGTGCCACTGCACTCCAGCCTGGGCAACAGAGCGAGACTCCATCTTTAAAAAAAAAAAAAGAAAAAAGCAGGGCACGGGGGCTCATGCTTGTAATCCCAGCACTTTGGGAGGCTGAGGCGGGTGGATTATGATGTCAGGAGATTGAGACCATCCTGGCTAACACAGTGAAACCCCATCTCTACTAAAAATACAAAAAATTATCTGGGCATGGTGGTGGGCACCTGTAGTCCCAGTTACTTGGCAGGCTGAGGCAGGAGAATGGGGTGAACCCGGGAGGCGGAGCTTGCAGTCAGCCGAGATCTCACCACTGCACTCCAGCCTGGGCGACAGAGTGAGACTCTGTCTCAAAAACAGAAAGCAAACAAAAAACTTAATTTTCTTGGCCACCCAGACTCCACTTCTAACCTTGTTGCCTGATGGTTTTGTTTAATTCTGTTTTGAAAACAACCTCCTCCCAAGTGATGGGTATTAGAAGGAACTAATGAGAGCTCTAGGTGCAAGCAGAGACTTTCAGCACGTGTGAAAGTGCTTCTGATTTAGGACTCAGAGTTAGATGGTGGGTGTCAGCTGTGTGTCTTGTCCCCAGCTCCATGCCACCCTCGGACAGACGTCATGGTACCAGTCTATGACCAGGCTTTCTTACTACACAAAGGGACATTCTATGGAGTCAAATGGCAGAGACTTGTGTACAATTATCTGGTCAATTGAGGCAAAAGAAAATAATCATTTGTCCAATTGGCCAAATTAGCTCTCTGGACTGTCCTGAATGCTTAGGGTAACTGTGTGGTTCTCCACTTCAGTTCCGTAATCTGGCTAAGATGGACCATTTAAATGAGGCTCCATTCAACACAATGCACATTTAAATGAGGCTCAGTTACAAGAGACCACTGGGCTTAGCATTTTCTGTTTGTCAACTACAATTCTATAATTGCTTTTAGCTAATCATCCAAATGATTACATGTTGTGGAGGCAGAAGACCCTCGTTATGCATCATTTGGTCTCTTTTTCTCAGAGGAAGTGCTGAGGGATTAAATGTGTGTGTGTGTGTGTGTGTGTGTGTGTGTGTGTGTGTGTTTAACTTGTTGTTCTGACTCAGGACACCATAATAGACCTCCATTTTCATCAACTGTGGGGGAATGAGAACAACTCCCCCCATCCCAACATCCCCCTTTTCCAGAGGGGGAAACTGAGACCCAAGATTCCCTCTTGCCAAAGCCACAGAACTAGAACTAGAATCATCAGCTTTCTGATTTCCAGATCAGGACTATTTCTGCTTATGCCATTTTAATTTTTCATTTCTTTCCATAAAATTAAATGACCTTCCTCAAGAAAGATTTAATGGTCAAGATGCGATTTGGTAAAAAGCTTCCTCAAGGATTTTTTTCTTATTACAAAGATGAGACTGGCTGAGGCTGAGAGAGATTTGCAAACAGTGGTATGTCATTATCCCCAGCTCAGTTTTTTGTGTAATTGGTGTGAAGAGATTGCTGCTGATGAATCAGCCTGCTGCTCAACGGAAAATGATGATTCTTTTGTGACGTGACTTGGTGTACGTATGTGTATGTTTGTGGTTGTTTATGAAAGGTATGTGTGTACATAAAACGCTTATCAAGATGGATAATGTCATGTTAAAGTTGTAAATAATAAAAAATAGTCCTGAGCAAAACTGATTTTACAATTGCCTGAGAATGCAGCACTTCATTTCAACACTATGCGATGGCTAGAAATTGATTTTTTTTTTAAATCCAATTAAGCCTCAAGGTTGGTTATCCATTTAAAAGGTCGGATGAGTTAAACAATGACAGTACCTTCAGTTCGTGCTAATAAATTTGCACAGAACTTCAGCACTTACATCGTGTGCCTCACGGAGGCATACATTTTGTATCTGCGCAACACTGAGCTACCAAAGTCCCAGCAGTGGTACAGATACACCAGCAGGCCCTGGACCCCAACAGGGGCAGTCCGTGAGCTGACCACCGGCCCTATCACCTCTTCCACTTAGATCCCCGAAGCACCCCCTACCCAAGAGTGCTGAGTCCTTCCATCTACCTGGTCCCCTTTTCTGTGGTCCCAAGAGCACTGGGAGACGAAAAGTTGCCTCTCATTTAAAAGGGGGGAGAAAGATGTATTCACTACTTGGTTTCGTGTGCTGCCGAGTTTATAATGTAACAAATAAATCCTGTTTTAAAAACAGTACTTTATAGTGTGTATTTACTGTGTATTCCTAGTGCTTAACGTTAAGAAAAAGACTTCGCGTGGTGGCTCACGCCTGCAATCCCAGCACTTTGGGAGGCCGAGACGGGCAGATCACCTGAGGTGAGGAGTTCGAGACCAGCCTGCCCAACATGATGAAACCCCATCTCTACTAAAAATACACGTTTGGCTGATTTTTGTATTTTCAGTAGAGATGGGGTTTCACCCTGTTGGTCAGGCTGATTTCGAACTCCTGACCTCAGGTGACCTGCCTGCCTCGGCCTCCCAAAGTGCTGGGATTACAGGCATGAGCCACCACGTCCAGTCAATTCTTTTTGCTTTTTAAAAGCTCTATATTCAGATACTGCAGATAGATGTATAATAAACACAAGGGTGTTTCTGGAAAAAAAGGTGACTCAGGTTTTTGAAGATTGAATCATTTTCAATGCTCTAGAGAAACATACTATCTAAAAGGATCCTATAAGTGAAAGTTTCCCTAAAGAACAGATTCCATCAAAAAAAACATTTAGCCCCTAATTTTGCTTTTCTATAAGTCTCCATTTTCTTATATTGAGTTTGCTTAAAGGAATGTGGAACCACATTTGGTCTGTTAATTATTTCTCTTTTCCTTCTCACAGCCTCCCTGTCCAAAGGCTCCAGGTCTTCAACATGCCCTTGAAAACTTTTGCAACTACAAACATAATTTTGCTGGTGTTCAGAAGTAAATAGAGTTTAGTTCCTGAGACATGAAGGTTATTGCTGTCTTACATTGTGTCCTTCCTGGGAGGATAATTTAGGCTGCTAGATTGTCAAGGGACCTCAGAGAGCAACTAGTTCAGCCCACTTGTTTTGTTTTGTTTTTTTTTTTTGAAATGGAGTCTTGCTGTGTCGCCTAGGCTGGAGTGAAATGGTGTGATCTCAGCTCACTGCAACCTCCGTCCCCCAGGTTCAAGCGATTCTCTTGCCTCAACCTCTGGAGTACCTGGGACGACAGGCATGTGCCACCATGCCTGGCTTTTTGTATTTGTAGTAGAGACAGGGTTTCTCCGTGTTGGTCAGGCTGGTTTTGAACTCCTGACCTCAGGTGGTCTGCCCACCTCAGCCTCCCAAAGTGCTGGGATTACAGGCATGAGCCACTGTGCCTGGCCCCAGCCCCCCTCATTTTATCGAGAGGTCCTAAAAACTGATGCTAGAAGAGATGTTTTTTGTTGTTAATAAATGATTCTGCTGGCACATTTTTATTAACACATTTTCTCGTCCCACTGATACCAGAAAGTAAAGACACAGTACATGCAGATGAGGCTACCAAATGTGCTTTTCAAGCAAAGTGCAAAAGATGGCATGTAGTATGCTACCTTTCAAGATCCATGAATAATCTTGTTTTTTGTTCAGATAGAATCAGGAAAGAGAAAAGCTAATAAAAACGGTTACGTGTGGGGGTGAAAAAGGTTACCTGTGGGGGTAAAAATACTACCTATGAAGGATGACTGAGAAAAGGGGGGAAAGGCAGGGATGGGGAGACTCCTTTGAACATTTCCTTTTTACAGGTGTGATTTGAATGATACAAAATGTTATATGTAGTCAAAAAGAAAATGTAGAAAAAAGGAAAATGGTGAACCCTTCTGTGAAGTACAGATTTATGAAACTAAATGTACATCAAATCAGTAAGCTGCACAAAAATCAAGTAAATGTGGAATATATCGCTGGGATATACTCTTAGGAACAAAAAGTTAAAACATCTTGAACTCTGTGTTGTGGGTTTGTTGTCGGGAGCAGAGGCTATTGGTGAGTGTGGGAAACAGAGAGTGAGCAATCCCAGGAGGGGCTGGGAACCAGGGTTCTCACTGTGGCAGAGGGAGACGCAATGATGGAAGACGGGCAGGTGAGGAAAAGCCCTGTCTGGATTTGAATGGGAGGAATCAGTATCAACTCATGATGTTAAAGAAAACCTGACCCTTCCACATCCAAGAGGGCCAGGAGCAATGATGCCCAAGTGGCAGGAAGCATGCCCAGCACAAGAGCTTGGTCTCTAACTCTGAAGCTCTTGGCTCTAACCAACCTTTCCCCTCACTGAATGGAGCCAGGTTTCTTGGAGAAATGACTGACTCTGGATTTAGGTCAAGGAAAGAACAAAGTGAGCCTGTGATCATCTTACTTCTTTTTTTTTTTTGAGACGGAGTCTCACTGGTCGCCCAGGCTGGAGTGCAGTGGCGCGATCTTGGCTCACTGCAAGCTCCGCCTTCCAGGTTCACGCCATTCTCCTGCCTCAGCCTCAGGAGTAGCTGGGACGACAGGCGCCCGCCACCGCGCCCAGCTAATTTTGTGTATTTTTAGTAGAGACGGGGTTTCATTAGCCAGGATGGTCTCGATCTCCTGACCTCGTGATCCACCCGCCTCGGCCTCCCAAAGTGCTGGGATCACAGGCGTGAGCCACCGCGCCCGGCCTGTGAGCATCTTACTGTTCCAGAAAGGACAAAGCCCTTGAAAACGGATAAGAACACATCAAAAAGGAGCCTGCCTGATGCAGCTCTCATTGGCCTAAGTGGGTCCCCACTTGGGAGCAGTGACATTTGATGAGATGCACACACGTATGGGCTGTGGCAGGGCTGGCTTCATGGGTGTGCAGCCACCATGGCCACATGGGCCCTGTGCCTGGTTTAGTGCTCAGCTGTTGCCATCTTGAAATTGTTTTTTGAAAGAGAGGCTCTGCATTTTCGTTTTGCACTGGACTCCACACATCACGCTGCCAGCCCTGGGGAGAGGGGGAAGGTCTTTGCTGAAGAACACCAGGTAATAAGTGTAGAAGGGAGGATAGAGCTGGAAAGTCACTCAACCAATACCTGATTCAGGCAGAAATCATCACTGGATACTGAAGACATTCAGGAAAAGGTGGTTGGGACCCAGAAGGTTCTTAGTCTCAAAGTGTCACTCCATGGATTATAAAGAGGAAATTATTTTAGTTCAATTAATTATAAAAGGGGGAAATACACTTTTACCATGAAGAGATCTGGCAGACCCCACTTGCCCAATGATGGGGGACACTTAGATTATGTGCCTCCTGATGAGGTTCGATGGGAACCATAACCTGTATTTTTGCCAAAAAAGTTCAACCCAAATCTAACGAAACAGACGAACCCAGATGGTGAGAGCTTCTGTAGGACATACCAGTGCGTGAAAGAACGGTAAGGACTGTTCTGGATTAAAGGAGGCCAGAGAGTCTTCACAACCAAACGCAATGCCTTATTTGGATTCTGGATTTAAAAAGAAAAAGCCATGAAGGACAAGGGGACAATTGAAGTTTCATTGCAAACTGTATACTGGATAATAGTATTGTTTCAATGTTAAATTTCATGGGTATGATCAGCACATGATCATGATTATGTGGGCTCGTGTCCTTGTTCTTTTTTTTTTTTTTCTGAGATAGAGTCTTGCTCTTGTTGCCCAGACTGGATTGCAATGGCGCAATCTCGGCTCACTGCAAACTGCACCTCCCAGGTTCAAGCGATTCTCTTGTCTCAGCCTCCCGAGTAGCTGGGATTACAGGCGCGTGCCACCACGCCTGGCTGATTTTTGTATTTTTAGCAGAGACGGGTTTTCACCATGTTGGCTGGGCTGGTCTTGAACTCCTGACCTCAGGAGATCTGCCTGTCTCGGCCTCCCAAAGTGCTGGGATTACAGGCATGAGCCACCGCACCCAGCTGGTGTCCTTGTTCTTAAGACATACGCAGTGAGGTAGGGGTGTATACAACTTACTTTAAATGGTACAGGGAAAAATATGTGCACATACATACATATACACATATACATACATACATATACACATATACATACACACATATACATATACATAAACACACATACACATATATGCATGTTTGTATATATACAGGCATACCTCACTTTATTGTGGTGGTCTGGAACTGAACCCAGAATATCTCCAAGGTGTGCCTGTATGTATATGTGTGTGTGCGTGTGGGTGTGTGTGTATGTGTATGTTTGTGTGGGTGTATGTATATATATATCTGTGTGTATATATATATGAATCTAGGTGAAGGGTATACAAGTGTTCATTATACTCGTTTTTCATCTTTTCCAAAAGTTAATCAACTTTTCAAAAAAGTTTCTAGAGAAATGTGTTTTCATGGCAACAAGTTCTTTTTCCTCCCTTCAGGGAACATTTAGTGCAAATCTAGGTGGCGTGTCTGGTGCCAGTTGCAAAAGGGAACGGAGGCCCTGCCTGCTGTGCAGGCACTCAGGTTGTGGCAAGGGACAGCACAAACATCCACAACGCGGGGCAGCATTTGAGGCGGTCGTGTGGCTGTCACAGTTTTCACTGGTTGTGGGCTCACTTCTCAGCCAGCTGCTCCAGCTCCATGTGGTGGAGGGAGGTCCTTGGAGCTGAGTCTGCTTCTGCTTCCTCTGGGCTCATGAGCAGGTCATTCTGAAGCAGGAAGGAGCCCTTCCTTGATTTCACTTTAGGACTGCCTGAGGCACTTCCACTGGTTTCCAGTTACTTGCAAGGTCAAGTACAACCTGCAAGGTCAGTGTATATTTTATGCACACTTTATGTCTGGCTACACGAGCTTTTCCTTTTTTTTTTTTCTTTCTTATTTTTTTTTGAGACAGAGCGTCTGTAGTGCAGATTGGAGTGTGGTGGCGCGATCTCAGCTAACTGCAACCTCCGCTTCCCAGGTTCAAGTGATTCTCGTGCCTCAGCCTCCCGAGTAGCTGGGATTACAGGCAGGCACCACCATGTCCAGCTAATTTTTGTATTTTTAGTAGAGATGGGGTTTCACCATGTTGGCCAGGCTGGTCTCAAACTCCTGGCCTCAAGTGATCCACCCTCCTCAGCCTCCCAAAATGTTGGGATTACTGGCCTGAGTCATGGGGCCTGGTTCCACATGAGCTTTTGACAGTGCCAGAATGAACAATGTCCTTTACTACTTCAGGCCTTTGCATGAACAATTTTTTGGTCGGGGATCAGACTGCCTGACAGACTTTAACCCATCCCTCAAGACCCAACTCAAAAGTCTCATCGTAGTCCAAGGGGCCTTCCCTAACTCAGTCTTCTCCCAGTAACTGGATCTCTGGATTTTACTGTTCTATTTGCTCCCCCTTCCTCTTTCTGGCCACACACACATATGCATGCACACACACACACACACACACACACACACACACACATACATGCTATTGCATCCCCAAAGCCTGACGGGTCCTGGAGCTTTTCAGAACTGATGTTCAACAAATGTACATCAAACGAATGAATGAATGAAAACACCAGAAAACATGAAGCAGATGAACCACGGAAATGAGTGTTTCTTTGAAGTATCGGATATAATGGAATCTGAGAGCCTCGTGGCGATCAGCTGAGTCTAAGCAGGCATTAGGTTTTATACGGGTGAAGCCTGACATGAAGTTAACATATAAATGCACATTTCAAACACATAGAGCCATCTTACATGATAGGATTTCAGAAATGTGTCCTAGGATGTGAACTGTATCAAAAAACATCCTAATAAGTTCTAGTAACTTTATTCTGATTTGTTCCAGAAGTTTTTAATCTTTTCTTCAACTTTTGAGCAAAGTCTGAACATCCAATTGGATGTGGAATAGGTTTCAAGTCATCAAAAACATAAATTGATTTTTGGGTTGCATTAAAGATCTGGTAATTTGTTTTAAACTTTCATATTTTAAGGAAAATTAAATAGAGGTGAATTTTTCATTGATAGTGAAATATATACTAAGCCATGGATTAATACCTTCATCAAAATTTATCTAAACAAAGTGCTGCCTGTCTTATTTATGTTAAAGTCTGTAAAGTCAGCAGTGAAAAGGGGAAAGTACTTTCCTGGAATGTATTTGTATCTGTCACAAGCTGCATCTTGAGGAAATTGGCAGGCATTTGAAGTGGAATAATTCCTTAGCGCTCTGTTTAGTTTGGATTTCTTCAATTCAGGCGTGGCTTAAAACCAGAATCACCAATATTTGCTTTTAACAAGCATCTAATGTTTTCTCTTGCTTTGTGTACAAAATGTTGGTTGAACTGAATCATTTTGTTCATCCTTTCTGGGGGCTGTCAGGGTTATTCAGTCTATTCTTAAATATGAAAGAATTCTAAAAGAAAAACATCTCCAAAATGACCTCTCCACCAACAGTTTATCTCATTTCCAACTCCTGGTACACAAACCTGCTGGATCTGGCTTTCTGAAATGCTTCTTGGATCCCTCTTCAGTTTGTAAAATTCTATAGAGTGAACCAGGCTCCCCAGTCGATCTCCTCACCCACTCTTCTATTTTCCAGGAACCTTCTGTTCTAACCACACAGGTTTCAGAGCCTGCTGGACATATTCTGCGTCTGTGTTTCCTCCCAGGACTTCTCCCACGTGGAATGCCTTCTTTCTCAACCTCTTCGCCTGTGGAAGTCCTATTACATCTGTCAGGGCATGGCCTTAAGTCTCTCACCCTCTAGGAAGATCCTCCAGCTGTCTCAGTCCTCTGGAGTGCTGTGTGCCTGTCTGCAACATATTTGCAAACAGAAAAAAGAGTGAGAGATCTTTATACACGCTCTTAGTACCCTTTACCAATGTGTGAAAACATTCAGCTGCTGTAAAATCTTTTGAAGAAAATAAGATCCAATTAGCGTTGACTTTTATGTCAGGAAAGCTGAGGGTTTCAAAGGAATTCCTTTCAGTCATTCAACAGCTTTTTTTTTTTTTTTTTTTTTTTTGAGTGCCTGCTCTGTGCCAGGCACTGGAGGAAAAAAACAAAAAACCAGAAAACAGGCAAAAAGACCTGCCTTCAGGATGCTGATGCTCTAGTCTATGTGGTGTTTCCGAGGGCCTGCCCTGGGGCCAGGGACCACGGTTCAGAGCTGAGCAGGGAGACCTGGAGTCCACAGACAGGGAAGATGAAAGCATGGCTTGTGGCTGGGGTATAAGTTAGGGAGCTAGGGGGCCAGCTGGGAGGTCAGTGGTGGAAAACCTCCCACACCACGCCAGGGAGTTGACACTGCTTTTTTTTTTTTTTTCTTTTTTTCCATTTTTAGGCTGGTAATGAAGAAGAAACTCAAAATAAGAGGAGTAGCTTATGGAACTACATGGAGGAAACAGAGAAAGGTACCAACCAAAGGCCCTTGAGCAATCAGGATGTTGGGTAACAGATTTTTGCTTTTAAATGACTCCTGCGTGGAGCTTCCCCAATGCATCATCATTTCCTGACCCTTGCATCTGACCCTGTGGGTGGGACCCTCCACCTCCACCATCCACTCACCACTCACCCCTGGCTCCTCCACCACCCGGCTCTGGCCCCGCACCCTCTGATGGCCTTTCCTCCCCTGCAAGGCGACTGAGGTGACTCAGGTCACCCTGCTCCTTCCTCGTCTCATCTCCTCCCTTCTTTCCTGCTTAGACTGTGCCAGATAACCCTTCTTGCAAAGGGGTGGGTGGGAAGGTCCCCCACGGAGCCAGGCAGTGCCTGGATTTGTAACTGGCCATCCCAGCAGCAGTGCCCTGGATGGAAAGCCACGTCCCTGGCACACTCTCACATCCAGGGCAGTGCCTGGCAGAGTGGGGTCTGATAAACGCCAGGGAACCTCCGATTAAGTGAGGAGGAAGTGAGGGTCCACGCTGTGCCCACCATGCCAGGCAGTGGGACAAAAGGACCTGACTCAAGTCCAAGAGTCACTGGGCCCCTCCGGCCTGATGGGTGGCCAGGGTGCGGGGTCCCCGGGGATCAAAAGCGGCTGCTCTGGGACCCCGGGGGACCTGTTTGGGGCCGGCCTGAGGCCTGATCGGGCCGGAACTGCGTAGGGTGGGCTTGGGCCTACGTCGGCCCAGGCCCCACTGGAGGACGGGCCTGTCCGGGAGGCGCTGCCTGGCGGGCCACGTCGCCCCGCGTGTTGGGCAGGGCTGCCCGGGCCGCTGGGCCGAGGGGCGGTGCCGCTGGAGGCTGGGCGCGAGCGCCCTGCTCGGCTGGGCCTGCTCGGGGCCGACTTTGGGCCTGCCCGCCCGGGCCTGCCCGCACCCTCCCGCCCGGCCTGGCCGGCGCCCCCTCGCGCCCCGGGCGGGCCCTGCACGTCTCGCGAGCAGCCCGGAGCGGCGGGGGAGGCGGGGCCCGCGGGCTGCCGGGCAGGGCCGGGGCGGCGCCGAGCCCGGGCCGGAGCGGGGCGAACGGGGCCGAGCGGCGGGCCGGGCCGGGCCGGGCCGGGCAGGGCCGGGGCGTGGGTCGGCGGGAAGATGGCGAACGTGGGGCTGCAGTTCCAGGCGAGCGCGGGGGACTCGGACCCGCAGAGCCGGCCCCTACTGCTGCTCGGGCAGCTGCACCACCTGCACCGCGTGCCCTGGAGCCACGTCCGCGGGAAGCTGCAGCCCCGGGTCACCGAGGAGGTGAGCGGGCCGCCGGCCGCCATGCGCCCCGCGCGGCGGAAGCCCAGGCCCGGGCGGCCCGCGGAGGCCCCGCCTCGCTCGCCGCACCCCCGCCGCCGCCGGGCCGGGCCCAACGAGGCTGGGCCGCCTCCCTGACGGGCTCAGCCGCCAGGCCAGTCTTCGCCCGCGGAGGCCCAGCCCTAGGCCCCGTCGCCGGTGCGGCGCGGTGGTCCTCCTGTCAGCCCAGCCCTGCGCCCCCCGAGGCCGCAACACCTGCGGACTGGGCGGGGAGACGCGGCCGCTTCCAGGGCCTCGCGTCGGCCCTGCCTGACGACAGGCCCTGGCTTCCAGAAGTTCCCATGGCAGTGTCCCCAGCTGCCTTTACTTGGGGACACCTGGCCCCTGCCCCCTCTCTGGTGGAAGCCGCCTAAGCCCTATCCGAGTGTTGGAAGCAAAGCAGCCCCCAGCCTCTCCCTTCCAGTCTTGGTGGCTTCATCCCACCAGGGGGATGCGAGCCAGCCTAGAGACAGTTAGCTCTGCAGAGAGGCGACACATCTCCCTAAGGATGGGACAACGGTGGCGGGGAGCTGCGCAGTGCCCCTTCCAGGACTGCAGGCGTGGTCGTGGCCGCAGGGCAGGGCCTCCTGGCACGTGGGCCGCTGTTTGAAACCTCTGTGTCTTGTCTCTCCCTTCTGATCTAGCTCTGGCAGGCTGCCCTGAGCACGCTCAACCCCAACCCCACGGACAGCTGTCCCCTCTACCTGAACTACGCCACCGTGGCTGCCCTGCCCTGCAGGGTGAGCCGGCACAACAGCCCCTCAGCCGCCCACTTTATCACGCGGCTGGTGCGGACCTGCCTGCCGCCCGGAGCACATCGCTGCATTGTGGTGAGTGCTTCGAGAGGAGGCAGCCGCGGTGCTCCTAGTCGGGCGGCGGTGAAATCGGGCCTGGGGAGCTCACAGCCCTGCGCAGACTGCAGCGCACGCCGCCGGAGGGCTGTGGACGTTATAATCCCTGCCCTGTAGACGGGGAAACAGGTCCAGAGAGACGCGGGGATTTGCCCCAGATTAATTTTGGTGGCAAATCAGAGACTCAACCCTAGATTTCCTGAGGCCCACCTAGTGTCTGTCCCTCTGTTCGTCATTTTCCTGGCTGGTCAGGCTGTTGACATCTGGTGGCCGATGTGTTATTTCTCTTGGAGCATGACCAATGGTGCTTCCACGGTTCCTGGGGTGACCTGAGGGATGGGGTGGCGGCTGCTGTGGGACATCTCTGTCTAGATGTCATCTGCAAGGGAACCGATGTTCTGGAGGCGTTCAGAGAGCAGCTCCCTGCACTTCCTGGTGGCGGCCCTTGCACCCTTATCCCATCTCCCCCTGTATCCCATCTCCCCCTGTATCCCATCTCCCCCTGTATCCCATCTCCCCCTGTATCCCATCTCCCCCTGTGCCACAGATGGTCTGCGAGCAGCCGGAGGTGTTTGCTTCCGCCTGTGCCCTGGCCCGGGCCTTCCCGCTGTTCACCCACCGCTCAGGTGCTTCTCGGCGCTTGGAGAAGAAGACGGTCACCGTGGAGTTTTTCCTGGTAGGACAAGACAACGGGCCGGTGGAGGTGTCCACATTGCAGGTGGGTGTCTGGAAGGGCAGACCCGGCCCCTGGGCCGTGGCAAGATCGGGGAGGTGGGAGGGAGGTCGAGAGAGGGAAAAGCTTGTTGCGGGGGCAGGAGCGGGGCTGGCTGCTTTGGTTCCTGGGAAGCTGCAGAGGCTTTTCCAAACCCAGGCCTCCTCCCTCTGCCTCAGCGTGGCCTGTGACTTCAGGATTCTGTTGTATACAGGCAGTGTTTGTTGAGCACGTAATCAGTGCCAGGAACGTCCATGCTGTTTTCCAAATAACGCTGCCCGCTTATGTGAGCTGTGTGTGTATGTGTGATGTATGCAGGTGTGTGTTGCTGTGCATGTATGTGTGTGCATGTGTTGTATGTGTGGGGTGTGTGTGCATGTGTTGTATGTGGGGGGTGTGTGTGCATGTGTGGTGTGTGTTGCTGTTTGTGTTTGAGTGCTGGTGTGTGCATGAGTGGTGTGTGTGTGGTGTGTGTTGCTGTGTGTGAGTGCTGGTGTGTGCATGAGTGGTGCATGTGTGGTGTGTGTTGCTGTTTGTGTTTGAGTGCTGGTGTGTGCATGAGTGGTGTGTGTGTGGTGTGTGTTGCTGTGTGTGAGTGCTGGTGTGTGCATGAGTGGTGTGTGTGTGGTGTGTGTTGCTGTTTGTGTTTGAGTGCTGGTGTGTGCATGAGTGGTGCATGTGTGGTGTGTGTTGCTGTTTGTGTTTGAGTGCTGGTGTGTGCATGAGTGGTGTGTGTGTGGTGTGTGTTGCTGTGTGTGAGTGCTGGTGTGTGCATGAGTGGCATGGGTGGTGTGTGTTGCTGTGTGTGTTTGAGTGCTGGTGTGTGCATGAGTGGTGTGTGTGGTGTGTGTATATGTGGTGTGTGTTGCTGTGTGGGTATGAGTGCTGTTGTGTGCATGAGTGGCATGTGTGGTGTGTGTTGCTGTGTGTCTTTGAGTACTTGTGTTTGCATTAGTGGTGTGTGTGGTGTGTGTTGCTGTGTGTATATATGAGTGCTGGTGTGTGCATGAGTGGTGTGTGTGTGGTGTGTATGTTGCTATGTTTGAGTACTGGTGTGTGCATGAGTGGCGTGTGTTGCTGTGTATGTGTGCTGGTGTGTGCATGAGTGGTGTGTGTGTGGTGTGTGTGTGGCATGTGTTGCTGTGTGTGTGTGAGTAGTGGTGTGCGTATGAGTGGCGTGTGTTGCTGTGTATGAGTGCTGGTGTGTATGTGGCGTGTGTTGCTGTGTGTGTATGAATGCTGGTGTGTGCATGAGTGGTGTGTGTGTGGTGTGTGTGGTGTGTATGTTGCTATGTTTGAGTACTGGTGTGTGCATGTGTGGCGTGTGTTGCTGTGTGTGTGAATGCTGGTGTGTGCATGAGTGGTGTGTGTATGGTGTGTCTATGGTATGTGTTACTGTGTGTGTGTGTGTGAGTGCTGATGTGTGCATGAGTGGTGTGTGTGGTGTGTGTGTGGCATGTGTTGCTGTGTGTTGCTGTGTGTGTGCTGGTGTGTGCATGAGTGGTGTGTGTGTGGTGTGTGTGTGGCATGTGTTGCTGTGTGTGTGTGAGTAGTGGTGTGCGTATGAGTGGCGTGTGTTGCTGTGTATGAGTGCTGGTGTATATGTGGCATGTGTTGCTGTGTGTGTGAGTGCTGGTGTGTGCATGAGTGGTGTGTGTGTGGTGTGTGTGCATGTGTGTTGCTGCACCCTTTACAGGGAGCACTTCTACATGTGTTATTTCACTCAATGCTGAGAAGGATCCTTTCGAGGCTGCAAGGCCGGAAGTGATTTCCCGGCTCCAGATCCTTGGATGGGCCTGACGTCAGGCTCCCTTCCTCACGGCAGCGGTCCCAGCCTCTGCGCCTGCTGCCTCCAGTCCCCGAGCCCACAGCGCCACCCAGGTTGTCTTTTCTCGTGTCCGAGCTCATTCTTCACTTCTGGCTCTGGAAGGCTGTCACCTTCACCCCGGGCAGCAAGCTCTCCCACACCGGCGCTTGGGCCGCACCTCATTTCCTTCACTGTGTCCTCTCTGAGGCCTGCAACCACTGACCCTCAACCCGAATTTTTCCATCTTCACCAGCATGAGATAGCTCCCCTTTTTTTCCTTCGTCTCCAAATTTTTAAAAAAGTCTAACTGGTTTGCCTTTCTTAATCCTCTTTTCCCTCTTAACCCATGGAAACATAGTTTTTGCCCCCATCCTGACATGGTTTTCTAAGGACTGCTGGATGGGGCATTGCCATCCCTCCTTGAAATGCATCTGCCCCATCCAGAGGTCTCCCTCCCTCCTGCTGCTCCCCAGACTGTTGCCACCTCTCGGCATCCTCTTCATGGCCTCTCCAGTGTTCCGACCTGCTCAGTCTTCTCAGGGTCAGACACCAGCATCAGCTTCTTCTGTCTTTAGCAGTTTCCTTCTGAGTTCCAGGCCTGCTATCCAGGTGGGCAGGGGTGCCCGCAGAGCCCACTTGGGGGCTCGAGCATCACCCTTATTTCCAAGGATAGCAGGGCACCCTGACCTCTGTTGCCCTCGGTCCCTTCCCCTCCTGTGGACTTCCTGCTGTCCCTTAGACTGGCCACACCCACTCCTGCTCATGCTCCTGCGCCAGGATCCTTCCCTGTCCAGCCCAGCATGGTCTCCCTCTGGCCTCTGCCCACATTCCCTCCCCAGGGAGGCCTGGCCCTCTTGGCTAACACAACCCTCCCATTTGTCAGCTAAACCATTACTATAAGACATGTCACATCTTTGTTGATCTCCTGTGCTCTCCACTGGGTTGGGAGTCCCCAGAGGGCAGGGACCTGGTCTTGTGCACAATGATCCCAGCACCCAACCCCACACATGAGAAAGGCCCAATAAACATCTGGTGATGGAAGCAGTGGGGCAGTGAGTCCCCGTGGCCCCCAACCCCATTGGTCCCAACTAGCCAGTGTGTCCTGTTTCTTGTCTTTGCTCTGCCCAGTGCCATGCGTTAAGGTGCTCTTCTGGGCTATGGCAGCAGTCTCCTGGTCACCCTGCCACAGATGGCCTCCTTCCAGCTCCTGCTTCGCTCACCTTCCAAAGGTGCATCTGTGTGCAAGGTGGCGTCTTCTGAGTGCTGTCAGCTGTCACGCCCTACACTCAAGGCAGGATTGTGCACACAGCACGTGCTGGTACACTCTACAGTCCTGTGAGATACGTCCTGTTGTCCCCAGGTTAGGGCTGAGCAAACTGCTTGCTGACATTGAGTGACACCGGGACCACGCCAGCAAAGGGCAGAGCCAGGTGTTAAGCTACAGCTGCCACCACTGAGCCCTCTTGGGTCCTGAGCACACCAGTATCTGACACCCATGTGGCCTGTACTCAGCTTCTCCCTTTCTTCCCTGCGGGAACCTTCCAGTCCCCACCCAGGACCCTGTCCCTTCTGCATCCTGTGGCCTCATCCTCTCTGTAGCAGAGACTGGGACTGTGCATTGTGAGCCTCTGCTGAGCTTGACTCCCTTGACGTCTCTGAATTATCCGAGTCTTGCATGGTGTCTGGCACGTGTGGACAGAATGAGTGGCCCTCCCCTCATGGTAAGAGACACCCCCCCCCAGTGCAGCATGGCTGTGTGTTGGTGGAGGGCACCCACAGCCCTGCCCTGCCTCCCGCAGAAGCGCTCTTGCGTCAGAGCCCTGAGCTTGCCGTGGTTTGGGGTCTTCCAGGTGACACTTGGCCTCCTTGGAGGCAAGTTACACAGCACTGACGCACTTCTCAGACAGTCCTTGTCTGGTCCCCACATGCCCTCACAGACAAAACCTGCTGACAGGCGGCAGGGACGGCACAGGCACATTCATATCGGAGCTGTCAAGTTCCAGGTCTCTACCTTTGAGGCTTTGGGGTTTAATTACCTCTGCAGGGCGGAGGAGGTGGCTGGGCTGCGGTATCGACCCGGCGCTTGCTGCCCTGACATTATGAGACTAGAGGCAGGGATGATAAACTCGATGCTGTCCTGCACCCCCGCAAAACGGCGCTGCTTTTCTCTTAATATTGTCTTTCTGGTGAGCGAGGGAGGCCGCGCAAGCAGCCAGCTGTCTGAAGCTTCTGCGCCTGGGGGTGCACGGTAGGGGACAGGGTGGGGCAGGGATGCCCGCAGATTCAGCTGAGAGACACTGAGGGTCCCAGGGCAGACGTGAGACACACATGAGAAGGCAAAGAATGGCCCAAGCCAGGGCTGAAGGACACATTTCTGGGACCCACGTGACGTGTGCTTTGGTGCACATGCCCCTCTCTGCCCTGCCTTCGAGTGTGGGCTCTGAAGCCCTGCCAGGCAAGCAGGGCCCATGTTTTCAGCTCCTGGGTGGACACGTCAGTTCCATGAGGCGAGACCTCTCTCTGTCCCTCCCCTTCGTGCCCAGAACCGTGCTGTGTCAAGTGACAGCACTAGGGCAGCCAGACCCCCGTCTGTCTTGCAGGGTTCATGAGGGACTTGCGTGGGTCTCCTGAGGAAAGCAGTGGCCCAGAGGGAGGGCGTCCGGGAGGGCCAGCGGGTTCAAGCGCCCAGGATGTAGAGTGCTTCTGCTTGATGGGGAGGATCTGGAAAAGCTACTGGTGGAGATGGCCTATGAGAAGTGCCTCGAAGGATGACTGGGATCTTGGTGGGAGGGAAAGCGCTGTGGGATCTGCAGAGGTGAGGGGTGGGAAGCTCAGGGCGTACTCAGGGGCCACCTACCTTCAGCTGTAGCTAGGATGAAGGGAGAAACAGGACACAGGGCTTGGAAAGGATCCAGATACAGAAGGGCAGGACCCCAGGCTGGGGACTCCTGTATACTTGTGGAGGCACAGGGTGGTGGCTGTGCTAAAGGTTCTTTCTACAGGTGGCTGGTGGCCCTGGGTTGCTGGGGGTGGGGCAGGCAGCGAGAGCCATGCTCTCTCTCTCCTCTCCCCTTGCTGCCCTGTCAATAGCCTTGTGGGTGGCATTTGCCTCTGATGCCTTTGTGTTCCTGGGGGATGGACAAGTGGAGAACATCTGCCTCCCACCTGGTCCCAGGACCCCAGTGATGGCCTTTTTTTCCCTAGTGCTTAGCAAATGCCACAGACGGCGTGCGGCTAGCAGCCCGCATCGTGGACACACCCTGCAATGAGATGAACACCGACACCTTCCTCGAGGTTTGTGGGTCATCATGCCGGGGGCGGGACCAGGCTGGGGTGGGTGTCATTGACCCCCCAGGAGAGCCAGAGGAAACCAGGGGCTGTCCACACCCTGATGTGGCTGCAGGGCTGCCCTCGATGGAGTGCTGCTGTCCGCCCAGCTCTAGGAAGCCTCAGGAAAGGGTGTGTGGGGAGGACAGAGCCTCCTCTTCAAGGCCCCTTGGCAGGACTGCAGCCAGAGCTGCAGGAAATGAGAGAGTGTGGAGGGTGAGCCCCCTCTCCTGGGTTTCATCACACGCGAAGCTGGCTCCCAAGCCTGGCTCCCCCACTCCACACAGGCAGCAGTTCATCCCTGGCCCCAGCCTCGGCCTCTCCTGTTTCCAGCCATCTTCATGTGTCGTTGTGTTGCTGTTTTTTCCATGAACATGTCCAGGAGATTAACAAAGTTGGAAAGGAGCTGGGGATCATCCCAACCATCATCCGGGATGAGGAACTGAAGACGAGAGGATTTGGAGGTGGGTGGGGGCTGCATCCCTGCAGGTCTTGGCCTCAGGCAGTGACCAGGAGCACTTGGGTGACAGGGGGGTCGGCGGGCCATATGGCACATTGTCCCAAACTTCATCCTGCTTGTGACCTGAAAGGAATCAGCCTGTGTCCAAGCCCAGTGCCAGACCCTGGGAAGCAGCCATCCCTGGGGAAGAAGGGGGAGCAATCCAGATTCTGATTTGGATTCTGGAAGCTGCTAGATCCAAGTCCTTCCCTGCCTGCAGCCTCTCCAGTGTCCTCGCGTGCTGCACACCCTTACTCGTGGGACTGGCTCAGCAGGGCCTTTCTGTTCCTTGAATACACAAGTTCACATCGTGGCAGGCAGGGCCTGTGTGCAGATGGCTCTCCCTATCTGGAATACTTTCCCCCAAGATATATTTTTGGTGGAGGTCATCTCAACCAGTGCATCTCAGCTCAGATGCCCCCTCCTCAGAGAGGCCTTCCACAAGTCCCCAGACCCACCTTTCCCCATTGCCCAGGAGCCAGAGGGGCAGATAAGTATGACTCAGCTGCCCCATGGTGCTTGTAGACTGGCGAGGGGAAGGTGGCTGTCTCTGTTATGTAGGCTACAAAACGAATTACTCAGAAGACAGCAGCTGAAAGCAACAACACTTACCCTCACCATGCTGTGGGCTGGGGATCCTCGCCTGGTGCAGGGCCTCTGCCTGCTGTTGTCAGGTTGTTGGCTGGGGCTGCAGTCATCTGAAGGCTTGCCTGGGGCCTGCGATGTGCTTCCAGGCAGGCTCACAACAGGCTACTGGCAGGTCTTAGGGCCTCACAGGCCATTAGCTGGAGACAGCAGTTCCTTGCAGTATAAGCCGCCCTCCGAACGAGGTCTCTGAGCGAGAGAGAGGGATGAAAAGTGAGCAAACAAGATGGAAACTCCCATCTTTTTCTGTAACCTAATCCCAGGAGTGGTATCTCATCTCTTCTACCTTTTTTTTTTGGTTGGAGGTGGGACATTAGGACCTGCCCACATGATGGGGAAGGACTACACAAGGACATGAATACCCAGACATGGGGGTCACAGGGGCCATCCTGGTGGTGTCTACCTAGACAGAAGCCATTTACAAGTGGAGGGAGAGGCCACTTGTGTCAGGAAAAGCTCCACAGAGGAGGTGGCGTTTGCTGTGGATCTAACAGGATGAGTTGGAGTTTGTCAGGTGGCCATGATTAGCCCTCACCATTGTTGCTATGATTATTTGACTCAATTATTGCAGGACTTTGAGCCATAGACTGCACACACACGGGCCACAGCTTCCTTGATAAGATGTGTCATGTAAACCAAAGAGGCAGTGGTGTAGAGACCGTGGGAGCGAGTGTGAAAGGGCGGTGCAGTTCCTGAGTGCTCAAAGGATTCAGGAAGTGGGGACGAGCATGGGCTGGGGCAGCCTTGAGGCATTATCCAAAAATAATTTCATTCTGCAATCCTGTTCTGTTCTTTCTGGAAAGGATACAATATTTTTTCCCTCAGTGGGTTTTCTGGCCTAACAATACATTGCATAGAATTTGTTTGCAGTCTCAGGCATTGGCGGTAATTTGCATTCCCCAATCCCACACTGGCCAGGGGCAGGAGAAGGGGCCGGGAGCCCCAGGCTCAGGCAGGCGCCTTTCCAGGAGAAACACCAGCGGCCAGAGTGGGGGTTTCCAGGGACCTCTGGGAGTTCCCCACTCAGCTCAGCCCGAGCCTAACCCACTTCTCCCCACGCTTTCCATAGGAATCTATGGGGTCGGCAAAGCCGCCCTGCATCCCCCAGCCCTGGCTGTCCTCAGCCACACCCCAGACGGAGCCACGCAGACCATCGCCTGGGTGGGCAAAGGCATCGTCTATGACACTGGGGGCCTCAGCATCAAAGGGAAGGTGAGGTGCAGGGCCAGCTCTCCAGAGGGCTCTGGGGGTGGGGAGGGGCCCAGTTTGGGTCCAGCCAGCCCTCTCAGAGGTGTCATGGGGTGGGGGACAGCAAGGTTTCTGGGGGTTCTGGGTTGGGGTGGGTTCAGGGAGAGTCTACAGGGCCAGTTCCCATGCTGAGGCGACAACTTCACGTGGCCCCCTGGGTTCCATGCCCACCCTTCAAAAGGGTCTGGAAACAAAAGCCTGGCCAGGGCCCGAGAGCAGCCCCGGAAATGACCGAAGGAATGGCAAGCAGGGCCAGGGAGGCAGGGCTTGCAGCTGCGGGGCTTTGTCCGAGGAAGGGAAGGGCGAGGGGACGCCTGTGTCTCTGAGTCTGCCATGGTCCCCACCGAGAAAACGCTCAGGGTGGCCACACAAGACCCTCCAAAGGCACGTAACCCCCAAGAGTGAGGGGAATCTGGACGCAGCACAGAAGCGAGTCACCCGGGAACATCCCTGTGAGGTGGCCCTAGACGCCCGTCCCGTGGTGTAGCTTTCTGTCCTGCCATCCCAGGAGGACAGGTGCTTGTGGAGCCCCCGTCGTGGCCTAGTCGGCCTGCCGCAGCAAGCCCTTCCCTCCTCCGCACTATCTCCATCCATTCATCCCACACCGTGTGAACTTCCCTCCTCCGCACTATCTCCATCCATTCATCCCACACACCGTGTGAACTTCCCTCCTCCGCACTATCTCCATCCATTCATCCCACACACCGTGTGAACTTCCCTCCTCCACACCGTCTCCATCCATTCATCCCACACACCGTGTGAACACACCGTGTGAACTTCCCTCCTCCGCACCATCTCCATCCATTCATCCCACACACCGTGTGAACTTCCCTCCTCCGCACCGTCTCCATCCATTCATCCCACACACCGTGTGAACTTCCCTCCTCCACACCGTCTCCATCCATTCATCCCACACACCGTGTGAACTTCCCTCCTCCGCACCGTCTCCATCCATTCATCCCACACACCGTGTGAACTTCCCTCCTCCGCACCGTCTCCATCCATTCATCCCACACACCGTGTGAACTTCCCTCCTCCGCACCGTCTCCATCCATTCATCCCACACACCGTGTGAACTTCCCTCCTCCGCACCGTCTCCATCCATTCATCCCACACCGTGTGAACTTCCCTCCTCCGCACCGTCTCCATCCATTCATCCCACACACCGTGTGAACTTCCCTCCTCCGCACCGTCTCCATCCATTCATCCCACACACCGTGTGAACTTCCCTCCTCCGCACCGTCTCCATCCATTCATCCCACACACCGTGTGAACTTCCCTCCTCCGCACCATCTCCATCCATTCATCCCACACCGTACGAACACACCGTGTGAGCAGCTGTGCTCGGTCTTGGGCTGGGAAGGACAGGGAGGCAGCAGACTGGGAAGTGTGTGCCTCAGGAGGTCTGGAAGGAGCAGGGAGTGCATCTGGAACAGACACTGCAAACTAGTAGCCCGCAAGGCTCACAGAGGCCTGGCGTTTTTAAAATTTGAATTAGCTACCCATATTTGAAACCAGGAAGGATTCTCATCAAAGCCTGGATTTCCGGCCTTTTGTGAACTCAGGTCTGCCAGTGCTGGCATTCTGGTCCCACCTGGCAGCATTCCCCTGCAGCCAGCGGGCCTGCCCCTGGTGTTGCCCATTCTCCAGTTTGGTTCGTGGCGGGCCCCACCACTTGCTGCTGCCTTCCTGACACTGAGCCCTGGTGTCAGCTGTTGTTCAGGGTGGCGCTGGTGCAGCTTGCTGTGCTCTGCTTTCCAGCACGCCTAGTTTATTTCATACCTGGAATGGATGAGTAGTTCCCATCCCTCCTCGAAACCACAAAACTGTTTAGAACAAGGCAGGAAATTAAACTAATCATAAAAAGATTTAAAAAAAAAAAACATTTTCTATTATTAAGTTCCATACCTATTGTCATGCCAGTAAAAAAAAATTAAAAAGAAAATAAATATTGTACTACAAAGAAAACAGAAATGGATTAACACTCAACTAGCATTCATGTATTTTTTTTTAATAGAAAAAAACATGCCTCCCTATGGGTCTCTTGGAGTGATAGATGGTGGAATGAATGTTTCTGGCTTTGGGTCTTAGCATCTACACATTTGACAATGATTTCGTTTAAATTGATCTTCTTTACTAATGTATGTTCAGTAGGCAGAGGAATCAGCTTTGTCAGCTATCTTCATTCACAGTTGGTCCAAGAATACTCTTTGTTAATTTTGATTTTGAAGAGCTCCAATCACGTGAGGCAGCTGATACACAGATACTTAGGAAAAGTCTTTAATACGGTATCATTTGGCAGAGATTCCCAAAAATCCCATTTCACAGTAAATTCCAGCAATCACAACACCCACCATGTGTTCAGTTCTTCAGGGTGGATTCTTGTGGCTTTCAGATGTCCGTGGAACAAAAACATTTTGGACACAGTAACTCCAAGTGTTCACATGCAATGAGGGAACTGAAGGAACTCAGGTTCCGCGTCTTCGTTTTGACCATCCCGTGCTCTTGTGTTTTATTTTGGGTCCTCTGTTTCGACACCAGGAGGTAGGAAATCATGGGCCCTGGAGGCCCCGACTGTGCCCAGAGCCAGGCCACAGGATCTGACTGTCAGAGCGATTCTCAGAAGGAATGTGGGTAGTAGATTCCGCGAGTGTCAGGGCCAGTTGTGTGTCGGGTCACTGTTAACATCCATGTAATGTTACTTTCAGGATAAGTAACAAAGATAGGGGAATTTGAAGCTTTTATTTGTAAGATTAAAACGCAACTGTAGCCACAGCAAATTTTTAAACTTCAACCAACAACAGATTTTTGGAGGAGGAATATGTTATCGCTGACATTGTTCAGAGATACCAGCACATGGTGGTAATAAGCAAACTGACTTTTAGTCGGTTTATTATGATTCCTAAATTCGCCACAGATAGTGCACCCCTTACTGCCTGCACCTGGTACTGGCTGCCCCCACCCTCGCACCCTCAACACCTGCGGTCAGTCGCCCTGGAAGCTGCTACATTCTGGCTGGTAGAGTTGTGGACCCTCTTCTCTGCAGATCAGATGCTTGTTTTTGATGTCGGTTTGTTGTGGACCAGTGTGAGAAGATGAGCTTCCTGGGAATTCATTTGTTTGCTTGTGGCACTAACTCTAGTCACTTAGGGAAAATATTGCACCTGACTTCATCGCATGAGGCTGTGGCTGCACCTGTGCAGTAAGTCAGCTCCAAAATGAACACAAAGGAAAAACCTGACCACATAGGCCTTTCCTAGAGGCCACAGCCGCACAGCCTCCGGGGAAGCTGTGGTCTGAGGGTGGCTGGTAGAACTGCCAGAGAGTAGGGCATTTTCCATGGCTCCAGATCACCTTCTGAAAATGAGACTATAGCCCCTGCCTATTCCCAAGGTCCAACTGGTCTGCAGACACCATAATACAAGGAAGAGCTGGGTGTTTTGGCACCAGTGAAACAATACCTGGTTTTTTATTTTAAACCAGCCCATCTTCGCCGCTGCACTTGGAACTGTTCTACGTGGATTTGGGATCAACCAGCAGGCCTTTCCTGAGCTGTTACTATGTGGAGTGGGCACTGAGGCTCCAGCCATTGAAGGAGAGACCCCAATCCTGACCTGAAGGCACTCACAGTCTCATCCCAAGGGCCTGGTGTGAAACGTGAACGCAGCAGGCATTCTCCCCAGTGGCTGCGTCTAGAGCAAATGGTGCAGAAATGGTCACTCCTCAAAAAGCAAGCTGGGTGGAGCCAGCCCAGCTCCCAGTTTTGCAAGAAAAATCACAGCTCCCTTTTCAAAGATTTCAAGGGCAGATCAAGATCAGCCTGGACTAACAGGCCTCAAATGCATTACTGGAGACCCCTTTACCCTCTTAACAAGTACCAACCCCAAAGAGGCTTTATGTATAAGAATGTTGTCTATTGATATTTACTCTACTGGAAATTA